TCAGAAAGAGACATACCCTGTTCCCTTCCCTCGACAATTTAAGAGCCATCAGACAAAACGCACAAAGTCTACACTGTCCACTGATGCTCCCTATTGTGATTTCTGGCAACAAAACTGCTTACTTTATTAGCATTAAAAAAAAAAAAAATCTGTAATTGTTGACACAATCTGTAAATCTCTGGAAAAGTCCAATTTACTGTTAAGGTATGTAATTTTCATCAAAGAGGTGAAATAGATAAGAGACAGATAAAAACTGATCTAAAAATAAATGAATAATAACACAGATGGTATGTTATTTGGCTTGCCGGTACTCAGAACATGTTTCATCAGTGTCAGAAGAAAGTTTAGGAACCTTACCATAAAAAGAGATAATTGAAATTAAAAAATATTTTACAGAATTAAACTAGTGTTTTAGTCTTTGCGTTTGATACTCATAATCCCAGGAAGGAATAAAGCTAATGTTTTCTTAGAAAGCAAGATGATCATAAATTATATTTTCTGTAATTTCTACAGGTTAACCAAGAAGGTATTTTATGACAATAAGAAATACATGTAAGGTACCAAAAGAGACCATTAACTCTGAATAACTGTTTTAAGCACAAATACTTAAGGCATAGAAATTTGCTTTTCCATTTCCTTACCACACAGACATCTGCCTGTTTACAAGAACATGTAGGACTAATTAACAGTTCAAGCTGGGACCGAAGTTTCTCATCATCACCCAGAACCTGATTAAATTTCTTCACAAAATCTTGTGCTTTTCCAGGATCTGGAAGGTTTTCTGTATGATTAAACACAATTTCACATAAGATAAATCTGCCTTTCAGTATGCCAAGATTCACAGAAACACAATTTCCAGGAATGCTGTAATAACAGCTATAGAACATAATGACACTTACTTGCTATGGTCATCAGCTTTCCAAACATGGCAGCACTGTTTGCTTCTGACTGAGGACAACAGCAAAAACAAACGAACAAATCAGTGCTATCTCCTTTATAAAATATACCTTTAAGCTGATCTGTTAGTTCTTCTGCAGCACTTCATTCTAATCTGGAATCTTATGGTTTATGTCTTTGGTTTAAGAGTAAACATCAGAATAGTGTAACAGTATCATTAACAGCGACTACACACAGAAAAAGGGGGGAAAAAATCATGCAATATCAAAGAACTGCAAAAATTTACTAATTCATATAATAGATTAAAATCAAATGTTGGGAAAAAACCTCAAAAATCCCTCCAAATAAACAACTCCACAAAGCCCACCCTCACATCAAAACACCATAGCAAACCCCTTCTGTTTAACGTTTCTGCTAGTTTGAAGACATGCTTATTAGTAAAACTCTAGTATAAATACTCAAACACTTTTGTTCTCAAACAAACAAAACACTGCTTTATGCTACAACATATTCCACTCTCAAAATAGGTTATAAAATGAGAAACAAAAGTATATCAAAGGCAAACAAAAACCATGGAAATTTTTTAACTTTTTCCAACGTTATTGGCCAGCAATATAAAATAACAGTAAACATAAGGAGGCTGTATACCTTTAAGCATCACTGAAAGTAACTTTACTTAACGAGAATGGAATGTTGTCTATATATGGGAATCAAAAGAACAATAAAGTCACACTGAACAAATGATACAGCATTACAAAACCCCAGTAAATCAGTCTAACGTGTCCATTGGATAAGGTGTGAGTATTTGCAAAACCGTACAGTGGGCTGCTTATGCAAGTCTAGTAATTCTCGTACGTGACTCCTCAGCATGTTCTGGCACTTCCACATCTCATTCAGTGCTCTGCAAAAGCGCAAAACCAGAAAAGAAAAGCTCAGCCATTTGCTCATGACAAGAACATGCTGGAAGTATTAGCAGTCAAGATTGATTATTTACTTATCTTACAAGTGCAACATCTGCTAGGTGCAATCACAACATACCAAGTATTAAAAATAACCGTTTCAAACAAGGTGGAACTGATTTTCTCTTTTTACAAAACATCATCTTACTATTCTACTTAGAACCATTTCACATATGCAAGACAGCCACAGTATGTCTTACAACTGCCCAGATTATCTTGAAAATAGTATTTTCAACATAAAAAACAGGCCAGATATCTTCTAGATATCTTCATCGTGGACCCTAATACAGAGCAAATCCTCTGCACTGTTTTCATTTCATGAATACGAATGGATAACACCACTCCTCAATTATCAAGGTATCTTTTTGTCTCGGGGACATGTAGAGTTTGTATATAAAAGTGAAATGTTTCTAAATACTACCTGCAAATAACGCTAAGCATCAATTACTTCACAATTTTATTTAAATCCTGGTAATACAAGTAAGACTATACAGGTGTTGGAAAAGCCTGTGAAAGCAAGTATTTGCTGAACACAAACTATACTCACTTGACAGCATTTGGATCCAAGCTAGCATACAAATAGTACAAGCACTTCATTCGCTCTTCTGTTTCCAAATTGTGTGGAACGAGATATTGAGCAAAGATTTTCTCGACCAGTAATCTGCAGGAAAAGAAGAGATAAAAACTGTACATTTCCAAAAGTGGTGGTATCTTTCAGACAAGCTGAAAGAACAAGAAATATCGGAAGTCACTGAAACTAGACTTTTCAACAGAAAAAAGAAAAATACTGGTCTTTCTCATCTGTAAAGACCCCTTCCACTGCTGACACAAAGATTAGCAAGAACTGCTTCTTGAGAGTTTTTCCATGTTCTTTCATTTTCACCTCCTAGAGGGAGTATTTGCTTTATTTGTCACCATATAAATTCTCTTTTTCTTTAGGCTCTGAGAATCTCCCTTTGTCCAGTCTCATACATAAGAGAAAGGGATAAAGACAAGAAAAAGCCCAAATGAAGGATAAAGAATACGAGATTATAACTCACGAGTTATATTGCCCGTGTGTTTAGAAAATTGGATGGACTGTGTCTTAAAGATCACAGCATTCCTACAGCTCTTCAAGTGCTAAAAGCACTAACTTTCTAATTCTAACAATGATAATACTGAAAACCATTTATTCCTCCACTCAAGATGAGGAAAACAACCTAAAGGTGTGAACTGAGCAAGAACTTCGTTATCAGCCTTAAAAAACAGTAGAATTTGAATTAAAATTCAGGGTACCAAACTGAACTAGAGCAACACTGAAAATCAAGCCACCAATCTTTCTGTGTGGATACCCAGAAAGCAAACAGCATACAAGCCATGCCCATTCATGCAAAGACCAGTTTCAGTGGCTTAACCAGACTTTCAGAAGAGATCATGTCAGAGAAAAACTCGGCTTTGATGACACAGTCTTCTCTTAAAACTCCTTGCCTTGTTTCCTTGACGGTGCTCTGCATTTCCTGTGAGCCGGAATATTGAAAACATCTGCCCTGTTCACCATGGAACTTTGATTCATTCCCTGCTCCCTATCAAACCCGTGTACTGACAGTGAGACATGAACACGCTAGGAAAAAAACCCCATGAACGAATCAAATATGCAAATTAAAGTGTATTTGATGTACATACATACGCAGAATTGGCTTTGTATAAACTATGTGGAGATTTCCTAACTTTTCACAATTTGAAACTTCTACCTCGGCAGACTTTCAGTGTAATTTTGGTGTATTCAGTCTCATGACCTATCTTTTATTAAAAAAAAGAGGAAAAAAAAGGAAAAAAAAAAAGAAAAAAGAAAAAAAGGCAACTAATCAAATATGTTAACTCTGGCCCACTTACGGCCAGCCAGATGAACAAATAAAGAGCCTTCACCAATGCAGCGTTAAGAACTCACTGTCATAACTGGCAACTGAAGGAGGCTATTAGCCCATTCAGTCTAATCACGAAGATCATGAAATATATACTGAGGTAGCAGACTGTATAAGCGAGATGCTCAGAAACACTATAATGGAATGGCTGATTTCCAAGTCTGCTGTATTAAAAATGTAGGCTGAAATTCTATCTTTGTGTGATCTCATAGTTTGGCTATCCTCATGAAAGACAGAAAATTAATGGTGAGAGTTGAAAACTATCTTCCAAAACACTGGCCAAAATACTTTTCTCTAAGCCAAAATGGTATTTCAAAAAAACCAAAAGCGACGGAGTGACAAAACAGGGAAGACTAGACAATAGTAGAAGCACCCCTGGTATTCCTTCAGATTTTGTTCTACCAAGAAGATCCTTTTCTACGTGGCATAACAAAAGGAGTTGTCTGTGTATGTACTGTGGTGTGTACATGCACGATGCTGGCAGATCAGGGATTTCAATATGCTAGGCCCTGGCATGTAGTAACTCAAAGAAGAACTGGCTATAGTAAATGCAAATTCTTTCCTACACAGTAGTTAGTTAATGACAATCTAGAATCATCACACATCTAGTTCCCTCAGTAAATACATGAGCAGATAATGCAACCATCCTGAATATCTCAGTACATGTCTTAATGGTTATTTATTACATTTATCATACTTAAAGCCATAAATACCGAATGGGAAATAACAGCTTTCTCAGAATAAGCACTTATTTTCAGAGTATCTCTTATCACTATACAATTAAAGTTAGAAAGGCTTAGGTTGACTCACTTGTCATCAATGCTATTTTGATAATATATGTGCAAAAGTTTATCCTTTATCCAGCTCACTTTCTCTGCAGCATCTTTTCCAGCCTCGGCATGAAGACAATACTTCTTGTATAGCTGGGCAAGACCCATCATAGCTTCTTTTCTTACTCGCCACTTGAAGGGAAGAAATGAAAAGGAGATGGGGAAGTGGTTTTGGTAAATAAAGATCAAACACATAAAAATACAGTAAAGAGGTAGAAGTGTGAAAGACAAAACGGCCACATTCTACCCTCCTACATTTAGACACTTCAAAAGCTTAAAAATGCTGTTTAGAGCCTCTAAATGAGAATTTGTAAAGCCTATATAAGGGGTTTCTTCCCTATACTATGCAGATTAAATATTATCTGTACAGAGGAACCCAGTACTCCTCTGTGCTAGGCAACGAAAGCCTAGGAGCTAGTCAGTATATAAATGTTAGGTACAGCTTAATATGTATGCCCGAATAAGTGCCTTCTTGAGCCAGGATTTGGAAGACTTATCTATTTAGAGATAGGCACGAATCAGAGGTGTCAGCATTCTTTGCTCCACAGCCTTACATTGTCTTACAGCACACTTGTCTAGAAATGGGAGATCCAGAGCTCAGGCCTAGTTACACTTGCTAAGGTTTGAACTCTTAGGCCACTTTCCAAGACAGTGGGAGAAGCCCTTTTTGATGAAGCCTTGAAATAATCCCTGTAAGACTCCAGGTATCCAGGAAAAAGCCAGACTGCAACATGGGTTCACATCCTTGCTTTTCATGGTCACTACTTTATCCCCTCTTGTAAACAGGAAGTGTCCCATTATTAAGCACTTTAACAGGCAAGATCCATAAGCTCTCCTACAGTGACTTGTGGAAAGAATCACCTCAGAACAGAGTGAGGATTAATGTGGAGAGAACACTGTCTCCCACTAAATGGTTTTACACAGAAAGCCTCAGAAAAAACTTGTTTTTCGCTCACCATTTTAAAGAAATGCATGAAATTCAGACTGCAAGAGAGAATTTCTTCCAGAACACACTAGATATCAATTTTGGCCTTGAACTCCAAGGACTAACAACGCTCAAAAAATTTTACCCTATCAAATATAAATGTAGAAACTATTATTCACCCTGTGCATAACTTTTATGTCGTTAAACTCAGGGCTTGTTTTAATAACACCAAGTGAGATATTACACATTTAATTTCTTAGTAGTTTTATTGTGTGACTTCCTTTTCTTGAAGGGCAAATAAAAGAAAAATGTTGAAGATGATATGGCTTGTGCCAGCACAACAGCCTTTGGCATCACTAGCTGCTGGAGTAGATTACAGCAAGAACATGATGGAAAAAATAAAATTGTATTTTGTTACATATTTCTTAACTAATAAAACCACAAGTAAGAGGTCAAGACAGTAATGACTTTGACAGCATGTAGTGCAATACTTTGTTTTCACAAAAGAGAAAAATTTTAGATATAAATAGATGTTATTGTTTAACTTCTCTGCAGGAATTCATTCACACCCTTTGTGATTAAGGCATATTTTAAAGAAAATAAAGATCTGAAAGAGAAGCATTTTCAGAAGAGTATGAATATTTTTCTGCATTCAGATATACCCTTTCAAAGCAAGCGACAACTTTGCCAGTTCTCCCACATGAGACAGGACGGACAGCAAAACTATTGTCAGAAGGTAACAGACAAGGATTGCAAGAAATTTTTCTAGAAAATTGAAGCCTACAACAACAGCAGAGTACTTAACAAGAGGTTATAAGGAAAGGAAAATTGGATTGTCACTGGATTTCCAAAATTGCTGCAGACAGTAGAAGTCAGAGCATACAGAACGGCAGTTTCAGGCAGAATTTGGGAGGCACTGGACAGAATCCCTCAGAGAATGCTTTGAGACACTCTGGACGCAAGTCACTGAACAGGAGATGACACAGGTATAAAAAACAGAGTAAGGTCGTACTGAGACTTCAAGCTGAAACAAGATACAAAGTGGGGTAAAAGATGAAGGCAAATGAAAACAAAAGGGAACATAATAATCAATTTCAAAGGGAGCAGATCAATAAACACAGCTAAAGGAAGTATTACTCTGATTTAATTAACAAAAGAATTTTGACAGTCTTAGCTTCTGTGGTTAACCAGCATAATTAAACTCCACTGAAGACTGCTGGGCTGAGTTAAAACACCCTGTTATTGAAAGGTCCACACAATCCCGTACCTTTTGGGATAGCTAACCTATTCCCTTCCACAGAGCTAATAATATTAAAATCTTAAACTTTCTCCTTCATCTAGAAAAAGCCACAATATTTTTTAGTACACAGAGCGAAGGAGGAGTTAAAACTAACACATGCAGAAAGATGCATAAAGAGAAAGAAAATGGGAGTCTGTTCATACAGCTCCTTATTCTACAGCTTCTGACTTCAAGTTGATGATGTGAAAGTTTGTTCCCACAAAGGGACTAAGCAAAGGCTGTTGAGAGAAATGGGAACGGAAGTCAGCTGTGAAAACTCAGTCCTCTTCAGGTTCTTAAGGTTACTCCATTATAAAGGAAGAGTACGTGAACCATTTTTAGAAGCTTTAAAAAAAAAAAAAAAATTTTTTTAATGTCTCCTGAAACTAATTATTCTGAAAAGTGAAGACAGTGGAAAGAGCCTAGAGACAGTGGTCCAACGGAAAATTCCTCAGAACAATTCTTACCAAAGACTAGATTCCAGTTTTTGGGAAGCATCTGTTTCCAGAGTTACTTTTCCAACTGGACCAATAAAAATTGATTTAAAAGCTATAGGAGTGGGCAGAGATTGTTTGGGAGGTGTTTTTGTCATTTTTTAATAGCTGTAATCATTGTGTAAATGCGCACACAGACCAAGTTAGCCAAGGACATTTTTTTTAAACAATGAAGTACCGTCTTTTAGCCAACACCTTCTACCCTAAAAAAAAAGTCATTAGACTATCTTTACTAATACTGTGCCAATTAGAATATGTCCAGGAGAAAAACCAGACCACATAAATGGCATAACAGTTATCATGCTTTAAATTTCCAGTTTTCTAGCTCCCACGTTGTTTTAGAAAGAAAAAAAGCAGAACTGAAGTGACAGATTAGTGTGTTTAAACCATCAGCATTTTACATCAGCCTGCTGGGCAAGTGTTCTTTCTCTTGTAATATCTACATTCATTTGATAGATGATTACAGGCCCAGAAAGAATTAAATCAAGTCAAACTGATGAATGATCAGACAGGATTTGCAGTAGATTTGTCCCACAGAAACCTGTCTACAAAGGAGTAAATGCAGCCAGCAGAAGATAATAAAGTTCTTTAAAGCCAAAGAATAATTAAAATAGGTACAATGCACTATGTGTGAAATGGAAAAAATCCCACACAGAAAAAAAGACAGTTACATGGACATATGAATGCCCCTCTCCCAAACTGGAGAAATACCCTTTAAAAAAAATGCTTAAACTTTACAAGGCCTTGATATTCCCTTTATAACACTAATTATATTTACAAAGACATGCTATATTGTTAATGTCTACTTCAAATGCTAAGTATCTGTTGTAGTCATTTCCAGTCAATCCTCAATTTTCATTTCTCCTCAGGATGTATTTTCATTAAAGCGCTCTCAGGAGATCTTTAGAAGAGAAACATCGTGTAGAGGTGAAGTTAGTCTTCACTGCTGAGTGCCTGAAAGGCACATAACCTTGAAACGTGATGTATATCAACCCTGTGACTGATGTGAAATCACAGAGTCAAATGTATCAGGAACATTAAGAGGTAGCACACCAGGTTTAAGGCGGTACGAACTGAAAATCTTCAGCTCTGTAGAGATGAGCTTTACAGCTGGACACCTGGCTGCCTCTTACTGACGGCAACATGCGAAGGAGAACAGACACACTATGAACACGACAATAACAATCATCCCATTCAGACCAGGCTGAAGTCCGAGTGGAAAGTGGTGATTACACTAGAAGTTTTTAGGTCTCATAAATGACTTTCTGGACATGTTTGTTTAATGGCTGAAGAGGAAGGAAGGGTGGTCTTCATCACACCTGAGAAACATGCAAGGTCGAGCTGCAGGGACAACTAACTGAGGAGATGCTTTATAATAGTAAATAACTCAAAATTGGTATTTCTCTGTGCAAAGACGACATCCTTTTCTCAAAATCCATTACAGTAACATTTAAAAAGGGCAACATAAAAAGAGAAAACCATTTAAAAAAAGATAAACTAGCTAGAATGAAATAATTTATAGAGTGGATGCCCCTATCAAAAAGGTAACAACAACAACAACAACAAATCAACAAGGCTACACGGCACAGTGAAGTCTGCTATTAGAACATCATCCTCCCACGAGCATGGAGCCACATTCCAAAGTGGAAAAAGTACAAGCTCTGGCAAGTGGAAGGTAAATCCTTGATGAAGCACAGCAAAAGTTTCAGACACAAATTATTAAAAGCATATTCATTAAATATCTTCACCGAAGCCTCCAGAAGCAAGAAGCCTTCCAGACTCTTTTCTAGGGCTGAAAAACAAACAAGATTTCTTCCAGAAGAGGCCTGAAGAGGTATCTTAAGGCTTCTCATTTGAAGACATTTTAAGACAAATTACCGAACAGTAACAAAATCATTAAGACCAGGTGGTATACCATCCCTTACTTCTACAGGAATTTAAAAGTGATACACCAAATACTAACTAATCTGTTACTGCAATCTGTCAATGAACAGACTGAAGAGAGCAAATGTGAAAGAAACCAAAGGGTCCCAAGAGGAACACAGATTTTGAATAAGGCAAACAGGTTGAAACAAAACCAGTAGCAACAGCAAAGAGAAGACACTGCTGAAAAATGAACTTAAGGGAATGAATCATTACTCTTTGCATAATGGGAAGTTTTGTCTAAGAAAAAATAAATTCTAGCAGACCCGCAAGTGTATCAGTAAAATGCATTAGGAACCCAAAAAGTGTCCAACAAAGTCTCACACCAGAGGATCTTAAAATAAAAACCCCGTTGTGAATTGATTAAAACCTAGAAGACAATGGGTGGCAGTAAATGACGGGTCTTCACAATGAAGGGAACAAAGGAAACCTTCTGATGGAGTTAGAAGGGAATCTGTGACACTTAACATATGAAGAATTACTAGGAAATTAAGTGAACAGTGTGTATAAAATTTACTGAGGTAGTGAGGTCCAACATTATAATGAAGAACTGCAGGAAAATGTCACTCTACTGAATCATTACACTTTGAAATTAAAAAAAATTCAGAGTAAGGCCAGGTTTGGCCTCCTGTATTAACTCTGCATGTACAGTTTTAGGCAGTGTATCATCTGAAAATGTTCAGGAAAGATACTGATAACATAGATATTTTCCAAAATTGTCAGCTCAGCGTTCAATGAAAAGTGTAAGAGACACACAGAATGTTTACGAATAATAATTAAAAAAATCATCATAAGGTATGTACACAACACGGTGCACCTTGAAGGCCATCGCCAAGACCTGTCACCTTGGTTCCAGCAGGTGACAGAACAATCAGACCAGAATGATCACAAGTATGCAAGAATCAATTTGTGCAGAAGTTAATCAGGTGACTCTAGCTTAGAAAGCAAATAAGTGGAGAAGATGTGATATACTTATTAATAAATAATACATGTGTCAACAACCATTTATTATTTTACATAACGCAAGAACTACGAGATGAAGTTTAAAACAAACAAGTGAAGTTTCTTTTTTCCACACATGCATTAAATTTGAATTGACTGATGCTGTTGCCACAGATGCTTAAAGATACAAATAAGTTTAAGAAAGAACTTGATAAATTCAAAGCGATGAACATCATTATCAAGCAGATTTAAGAAGTCCTTAAATCATAAATTGCTGGAAGCCAAAACTGAACACTCTAAGTAGTATAGTGGGCTATAGGGACCCGTGGCCTAAACACTCTTGGCAATTCTTAGGTCCTTACAGCATGCTTGTGTTCCTCACAAGTCAATGATCTATTTGCTCGACAACACTTGATTGGTGCCTCCGTAATACAGAATCCATATGAAGATATTCTGGCAAGACACATCCCACCCCCCCGGCAGCATTCTAGTTAATAGTGAACTCTCAGCTTCTGTTTCTCTGGCTTTGTTTTTTTTGGCTTTTTTTTTTACAAAAGTATATTAGAAGCAGATATTCCTGAAAACAAAATATTAACACTTACCCGTTTGTCTAGCGTTCTTTCCCTTACAAAGCCAAGCAGCTGGTCATTGACTAAAGAAAGATCTCTCTTGCCCGCAGTAATAATTGTAACAATAACATCATGTCGAATGGCTTCTTCTGGGTCATGTGATCTAACCTTCAAATATTCTGTTACGATCAGAAACAATTAAAACCTTGGCTTTTTTATGTAGATATGACGTATTCAGATTTATGAATAAAGGTTAAAAGAATTAATAGTCAGTCACATATCACAACCATATAATCTATTAAACATATAACTGCCTACAGGAAAGATCTGTTCCAGCGTTTTCTATGTTAAATATAAGCCAATTATATAACTGTAAATATCAGAATATGAAAGTGAATAGGTTTTACGATAACCTCATTTACAACACGCAATGAAGTGAAATAAAGCTGATTAGAATATACTGAAAATAAAGGGAGGTGGGGGAGTGAGAAGAACTAAAAAGAGCAGATATTCTCATTCCCAAAGAGCTAAGAAGGTAAAGAATAAATGACAAATACTGAAAATTGCTGTAGGTTAGCTTGCATCAAAAAAGAACAGTATTTTCAGTTAAGTCTGAAATTCTGCTCATCGCTGAAATGATGCTGAAGTGAAGGAAGAAACTTCACAGTTTAGAACAGCACAACAGCATTTTCTGAACTCAGTGGCAGAGTAATGAGGAACACACTGCTTCTGAAAATTCATCAAGATGTTGCACCAATATTTGCTCTGACTTGCCAAAAGTTTCATGAGAATCTGAAATTACTTTAAATCTCATTCTGCAACGGGTAGCTTCTTAAAGTCTCCCCCTGACCAAGCCCACACAATGTCACACGCTCCTCTGTAACAGCTAGCGCTCGTCTTCAGCGGAGAGCAATTACTCAGTAGTTAGCTCTTCCATCCAGCATCACACATTGCACTTGGTGCATTTTAGAACTATACTGCTATGTACAGAAATAATTACATTCCTTCCTTGCTCATTTCTTAAATTATTCTAAACCCCTGTATGAGCATCTCACCAGTGAGGTCTTTTGCTAAGTCTGGATGGTTCATTAAACAATGACTGGCGAATTTCACACTCTCTAATCTCACAGGGACATGGATATCATTGAACCTAGAGGGATAGAAGATGAATGTTAATTTTTAATTAGCCTTGCAAATCAAGATTATTCTCTATGTAGTAACATGTGTTGATACTGTGTTCCATTAACTATTAGAATACTCTTGTACGGCAAAATAATACAACAGAAGTGAGGTACATTATGGAGAGAAATTCAAAACACAGAATTTTTATGTTATTTCTTGTGAAATTAAGTCAAGAGTAAAATAAAAGGATGAATGCGTTATATGCAGATGAAAGGTTGACCCAGGAGATTTTGTGCACTGACTTTGAACATAATTCTCCATACACTGTCAATCACAGAATCATAGAATCGTTTGGGTTGGAAGGGACCTTAAAGACCATCTAGTTCCAACCCCCCTGCCATGGGCAGGGACACCTTCCACTAGACCAGGTTGCTCAAAGCCTCATCCAGCCTGGCCTTGAACACTTCCAGGGATGAGGCATCCACAGCTTCTCTGGGCAACCTGTTCCAGTGCTTCACCAATCATATGCATGTGTGTGTGTATATATATATATGTATATATATATATCTGAAATGATAAAAACCCAAATCATCATATAACACATACCATTTGAAAATATTCACCTTTTAAAAAATTGTAATTTCTTTATTTACTTCAAAGGAAGTACCTCTTCACTCAAAAAAGTAAATGACAAATAAAACAGATGTAGTTGTAGATACAGCTGAACAGCATGAAATTCCAGACAATGCTGGCACATCTACTGTGTAATTTCTAATGTGCTGTCTATCTAACCTATACTGCCATAGCTACACAGCAATGTAGCAGCAGTCCTACAGGCTGCTTCACTCTAAAATATAACTGCATGTAATTCTCTGCTTCGAAGATTTAACAAAAGAATGTTTAAATGCAAACAAGCAGCTACATCCCTCTAAAAACCCAATGAAAAATGCAATAATATCAGAAAATTCAGAACAAAAAGAAGCGAAAAATCAGAATTCTATCCCTGTTTATCTTACCGCCCCAGAAAGCACTGCCAAAGAGGGCGATTTTGTGTGGCCAGATCAGAATCTTTGGAACCAAAGAGTTTAGCCAGAAGTCGAACAACAGCCAAACGTTCTTCTCCATCATTGCTCTGAAAATTCAAAACATGAAAAAGGAACTGTTCATCATTATGTCTAATATCTTAACAATAATTTCTGGCTTCCTTTTCCTTCTGCTTTTGTTAAGTTAGTGAGAAGAAAGTGCGTTTGAAATAGTATCTGACAATCCTCAGTCTCCCTAATTAGATTATTAGATGAATATGAGTAAAAATATACAAATACCTAGTATGTTAACATAATACAGCTACTGAATATATGGCTGTGTCTTGAAAATTCCTTCTCCTTCAGAAGTAAAAACCCACACACGGTGGTTTGAATAACACATATCCCTAACAATTTCAACAATTAATGATCTTGTATTTTAAAACATACTTAGAAACTATTTTATGTGTGTGGAAAATACACCCATTAGGATATTATAGATAGATGTCCACTAACAAAAGATAGCTGTAATTTCACCAAATACCTATTTCTTGTTTATATTTGTTTGTTGCCACCATGCCCTCTGTGTACTTGCACACAGATAAAATTATTTCTCTTGTCCACTTACAATCTTAAAGACAAGTAACTTTTTAACTGAAAAATCCAACCCCCAAATCAGGATAAATTAACTACTTCCAAGGATTCAAAAGAAGTCAGCTGACTTATTAGTCGACTATGACAAATCTGAGAAAATATTTGGAAATACTTTGTCTATTATTAAAATACTATTTTAGAAAATAAAATTCAGCAAATCAGTACTGAAGCTGACACACGTGCATTTCATGAGATAAGCCAACAACAACCTAATTACTTCATAAGCTTCAGGTGAAATCCCAAAATTAAGTACATATAACTTTTGCATTAGATCATATGAATTTATCATTAAAGTTATTGTATATTTTTTGTGCATAATACACATCTGCAAGCACAGGAAGCATACAATTGCACGTAACTTTCCAGTGTCCTTCCTTTACTATTACATTTATCTTTACTTTAAAGTGATAAGTATAAAATTTTTATCCCTTCAGTGGAACATTTATTAAATCTTCAGCTCTGCACTCTTAATATCCACGTAAATTTTATTACTCATCCAAAGCCACGTTGTAACCTACCTTCAGCTTGAACTCAAGCTGTGGCATGACAGACAGCAGTAAGTGAGGATCTATGGCAAAAAGCTCTTGTATCAAGTCAAACACATGTTCTGATAAGTCACTTACTGAAGACTTGCCCAGTACCAGAACCTGGTTAAAAAACTGGAATGCAAACAATACTATTTAGCAGGTTTTCCTTAATTAATGCAAACACTACGTTAAAAGAGTTCTTTAAAATATCATTAATACTTCAATTCTCTTGGAAGGCACGCGATACATATTTTTTCATTACATCAAAGTTTTTCACCCTTACAGTTTTGGCTCAAGGAAATTACAAACAAAATGAAAATAGATTCCATGAGAATCGATTAATTTGTGGTAATTTGCTAATTTAAAATATAAATAACCATCCTCCCAGCAAAATTAACAGCTAATAAAAGAATTGTTAATTTAAGATGCATATTCATCCAGTACAAGTTAAGGGAAAAAATAATCTTAATTTTAAATTTCTTATCATTTAAACCCAATCCAAATTGAAGATTACCAAATGTTGAAAAATAAGCTTCTCTACTTTTAATCCATTTTAAAGAATGTCAGGTGACTTTGTGTCTTGTGTTATTTGAAGGTAATGTATCAAGGTTGTTGGTGATCTAACAAAAAAACCCCGAAGTAGTCTAAATTATGAATGATTTCTTTTGGATTTGTTAGATTTCAGTGCAAATGCTACAAAGCTATTACACACTTGAATAAGAAAGTAAGGAGAATAGTATCAAACCAACTCAAAGGTCACTATGCACTATCCCATTTCCAGCTATGAGTAATTACAAAAGCTTAAAGAAACAGGGGAATTGGGAAGTGGCACTTGTTGGTGAGACTCCTTGAGCTTTTAAATACTTAGTGATTAACCTTTTAGGAATTTTCCTAATTCCCTTTTTAAACTACTCTGATTTTTAAGAATTTCTATTGGCTTCAGCACAAAGGAAAGGCAACAGAGTGGACCAGACTAGCTACACAAGACTGCAGTAGCTACTTTAATAGGTAAAACATACAACACTGACATTCAACAAAAGGAATTATAGGAGAAGCAAGCCTTGTAACAAAACTCGATTCTTTTAGCCTTTACGACTGAAATAAGTTTAGGAAGGGAAAAAAGAATCTAGTAAAGAGCTGGTAGTTTGAAATGCTTCATCCTAAAGCTCAGTATGAAATGAGGCTGTCTGGTTGCTGGACGTATGAAGTACTAACAATTTCTTTTGTTGCAACAGGATTTTTGGCGGTCACCTATTTTCACAGCCTAGATTCAGGTTTACCTACAGACTGAGATGGACAAGAATTAGTTTCCTCTTCACTTATTTCAAACACCTCCCATACTTCTTTAACAAGCAAGTTAACAATATCTATTTGTAAAGTGATATTCTTGTAGCAAAATGTTTAAAAGTCTTTTTTAAAAGTCTTTTTTAAAAAGACTTTTAAACCAACAAACAAATCTCCAATAAGCCAAGACAGTAATGGAAACACTTGTTACTTATAGGTAACATGGATTAAATTTACATACGTTGGCAATACACGGTTCAATGGTCTGGACGGTCCTTTTCAACAGGACTTTTGCAAGATCAAATGCTTGTTTATTAAGGTTCTGAAATACAGAAAAAATAATAATAAATTTTTAAGAGACAAACTGTTTCAGATGTCTTCACTTCTCTCCCCCACCCCTAAAAACCCATGACTTTAGAAAGGTATGTTTTACCACCAATCTATTTGTTTTGTTAATGTTATGTTAATTCCACAACTACAGATTTAGAAAAATCTGAAAACTAGTTTCTCACACACTTAAATCTAACCCGTGACCATCACATCCTTCACATTATTCAAAGATTTTAGCACTCCAGTTGCTACCTTTAGCATTCGTATCTCCTAAAAGTAGTATTCGTATCTGCTAAAGGGTTTTCACATGATCCCATTAAAATTTTTGAAGAAACACTACCGCACCTCCATACTGGTGACTAACATGCACCAAAATTTTGCCACTGAAAAATTAACTAGTCTAACTTACAATTTCAATGTTTTTGTTTCCCCCTCACATTCTCATTAAAGGTACGCTCTGTAGCAAAGTTCAGCCCTGTCTCGAGGGTAAAACTGTGCACTGACTTCTCTGTGGACTGTACCATGCGCTCCAAGATAGACCACAGAAAGCACCTACGCTTGGGCAGTTAGCTGCAAACTTTCCAAGTAAACGTTTGACTGCAACATAACAAATCTGAACATTGTTCTTATTACTCTTGAGCAAGATACGGAATGTAACTGCACATCTGAAAAATGTGACTGTCCAAATCTGCAGAAAATCCAATATGCAGTAACTCAACTCATCTAGGGATTAATGCATCTTGGAGGAAAAAAAATTTAGAAGTGGAGAGTAAAAAAATATTGGATTAGTTGATTTCCCAGAAAATTACAAATGACTGCAGACAGAATACAGGTAAAGCCCAAGGATGACTGATTCTTGGAAAGACAGTATTTGGCAAGTCTACGTTAGAATGACTCCCTCGTGTTCTTTTAGCTGATGAGATGACAAACCAAAAGACATTTCATCAACTGATAGTAACGGGAAACAAATGGCCAAAGGCTCAGACAAATATCTCCTCAGCACTAAACTGATGTCTCATTATAGAAGACAGACAGGTATGTATAAACTCTTCTCAAATTCAAAACAAAACAGATTCTCTCCAAAGCAAATCATGATTAAAATCTAGTTGGCAGGTATGTCTGTATTAAACTAAAGGGCTGCCAACCTCATACAGAAAATGTATTTTATTTGGATCTTCAATACCGCTTCAAAGACTTCTTGCAATGAAGCTGTGTTGGGATTTTTTTCCTGAATAGACAGGCTCACCAGAGCTAAAAAACAAAACCCACAAACCACAAAACAAACAAAAATTAAACCTGCAACCACCCAAACAACCCCCCCAAGAAACCAAACACCAAAACAGCCTAGAAAAGAAATACATATTGATAAAGAAATACTAATAAATAATAAACAAGCAAATAACCGATCTGTTAGGAGAAAGAAACCCTCAAAGGTCTGGATTGGCCATGCTGTAGAGGATGCAGAAGAAAATAATGATTTTAAACCCATGAAATAAATGTTTTTAAGGAATAACCTTGCTAGTAAGTGTGAAGTAAAATATTCACTCCATAGCACTAGTTTTAAAATTAATATAAACAACTACAGTTCGATGCCACAGGTGGTCTGAGAAAAATGTGACGTATCATATGGCTACTGAAAACCTGCATTTACTAGAAGAGAGCCACATTAGCGCACAGAGAGAAGAACGTACAGTGGTAATGGAGGTATAAATTAATATAATTTAGATGCTGAGGCAGGTTCTACTTCATGTCTAGGTACTGATATACGCCACTACTTTTACTGCAGTATTGTCTTAGACAATGTAAGCGAGCTTAAAAAAAAAAAACAAAACAAACACCACAACAAAACTGGGGGGGACGGGTCAGGGGGAAATACCAAAAACAAATGGAATACATTATCCAAAACATATATTTCAGCTCCTTTACAAAGATGAACTTCCATTCAGTGTAACAGTCTAGCCACACTGATACTTTTATTATGTCATAGCAGAGAATGACTAGTATTCAATTACTTTGCACAGACATAAAAGTACTATTATATGTTCTCTACAAGAAAAAAACCTGTGCTTTTCAAGCTATGGTGCTTCTGATTTACATACCCAAGGAAAAACATTTAATATAATCACAGAACTTCCTAGGAGATCTGTTCATGAAAGGAGAACATAACTACTGCAGTCAAACTCTGCTAGGCAGAGCAGACAGAAAACTCTGGTTTTGGGGTTTTTTTTAAACTACCATGGTAAACCAGTAGTTTAAGTGTTGTTGTTACAGGAGACAAACAAGTTAAAACAGACCAAAGCACTGACCGAAGTATGACACGGAACAGTGACTACAGCATATTATTTGCTCAGTTGTGGCCAAGAGCCAGTTAAGAGCTCTCCACCTGTCCTCTAAGAGATACTAAATATGCAACACAACCACATATACCTCCCCCTTGATCAGAGTCTTGCTTGAAAATTTCTTTCATTAGGCAAAATTACATGATTAAGCTAACAACGTTAATGCTAAAGGATCATATTCCCTTCTCCACCTACACCAAGTAAACACCATGTTCAGTTGTACGAGGTTTACCAGGTCATCGCACCCTCAGAGCAATTCCCACAACTGTTAATGACATCACCCAGCTATTTCTAACTGATTAGAAACAACTTCGGAATATTTTAGGACTGTTTAGGCATGTTTTCAAAAGGACTCTCTTTCTATTGTTAGGAATAACAGGCCTCCCTTCTTGTTAGTTGTTTTAATAAACTAAAATATCTCATTGCTGTCAATGAAATAGAGTTGATGGAATGATATTCCCATCTCATGGTCACGACAGAAGGAATGCAGACTGACCTCTCAGACGACAGATACTTTCATGCACCCGTTGCTGAGACTTGACAGGTAAATGACAACAGCCACGGCCTAGTCATTCCTGTGCTTTGCAGTTACATGGATTCTCCCGCTTTAGGTAAGCAGGCATTGTTCCCTTGGTTAAGTGCTCATTTAATTTTAATTATGTAGTCATGGTCAGAGCTGCCTTAATGCTGTCATTATTTTAAATTAATACATGAACAATCAGAAATACATATTTGGTAATCAGAGTACAGATCATTTACTGTAGCTCGTAACCAAAGCTTACTGTTCTCCATACAATCTTCAGGAAGAAGCACAAGTGTTTTGGAAAGGGAATGTTCTTGGTCAATGCAAGGCAACACCAGCCTGTATCTCACTTCCCCTGATTTCACAGCTAAGGGAGTTGTGTTTATTTTCCTTTCAACTTCGCTGAGCCATTATGGCAAAGGTACTTCCAAAGCTCACCTGCAGACCCAGTGACCAGACAAGAAGTCGCAGAGTGAAACCAGGACAGCATCAGTGACAGTATTACCCCTCAGGCAGTAATTAGGTTTTATTAAACAAAAAGTGTAAGGGGGAAAGACACTGGGGGGGAAAAACCCAAACCAGCTATGGAGTCTGACTGGCAAGCTGAGGCAAGCAGCAAGTCACCACAGAAGTCTTGGGGAAGTCTTTTTTTTCCCCTCCCCTTTCCTTTTTTTTTCCTCATTAAGAGCAAACACCAACCAACCAACCCACATCTTCTCAATTAAAAAACTTCCAGCAAACCCAAAACCACCAACAACCCAAAACCCTTAAGAGATAATATTATCCTATTACATATTACATTTGCTAAAGTATAAAAATACTTTATTTCTGCTTCAGTACAGAGTTCCTTAGGGGGCGAGTAGGCAGAATCTCTTGATACTAAATAATCTAGACACAGCTAACGAGCAGCACCAAATTATTCCCAAAGGAAATTTTCAGTCCAGTGTTATCAAGGCTGTGGGGGGGGAGGCATTCATGATGGCTGAAGTGTGTGGGGAGATAAAAACCAATCAAAAGGCAATAAAAATTATTATTATAATGGTATAGTACTGTAATATTTTACTTAGCAGACCTTGTGTGCAGGAATGAGGTTAATCAAAATGGAGTCCAGCAGCTCCTGAGTTACTCCATCGCCTTCCATGATGATAGAACTCATCAAATCCAGCATATGCATTTGTACCTTCTGGTTGTGGCTATTACTAAGACGACAAAGAATATTATTAATACTAAATTTTCGGACCCTGACAAATATTAATAGTACTGTTAAGAAACAATGTCTAACTCTGCCCAGCCTGCCCTCCCTTAGACTCCCCACATCTCAAAACTCAGAACGATTTTATGTGCCTTTCCTGTCTTACAGGAAAGCTTCAAAAACCTAGAACATCCTAACTTTGCTATGGGAAGTGAAAGAAAACTACAATGAAGAAAATAACAACCATGGAAATACAAATGTAGGTAAATGAGTCAGAATGAAGTATACTGTTTTGCCATGGACAAGAAATTTTAAAACATCTACTTTTAGACACACACCCCTCCATATTGTCAGTAATTCGTACTCATTTGCTTTCCCCACATCGCCTCATTTAGAAGAATAAAGACTTATTCTATTCACACACACTTATTTGTAGACTGTGCAAGGACTCAGTCTACCCCAAAACTGATGATATATTGATAATTTAATTGAAGCAATTCAACTTACTTGATAACTGAAAAAAGCGTCCTAAAAAGCTGAATAAAAATTTCATTGCAATCTTCCAACTCAAAGCAGATGTTGTAAGATTTAACCCAAGCTAAATTCTAAAAACAAAAACAGTATATTCAAGATACTACAACTTCACATTAAGTCACATAAATATAATCATGTTAATTCTTTTCTATTAAAGGAAAAGTATTATATAATAGATTGTAAACCCTTTGGGGAAAGAGACTGGATGTTTGGGTTGCATATAAAAAGTTCTTAACACAAAGGGGCTTTACAATATATATCCAGGAATAAATGAAATCTGGAATAATCTGGTTTCTTATTAATAATTTTATATTGACAGAAATAATATAAGTCTGTTTCTAGACTTTTTCCTCATGCAATGAAACAATACAATTTCAAACCTCAATTAAAGATTTACAAACAAGACACTGTTTCTAGATGCATACTGATAAAGACCCCACACTTCTTCTCAAGAGTAGGTTATTCTAATGTTTTTAAACCAAAGTCTTGTATTCCTTCTCCCATCATCAATCTAAGCAGACCTGCATTTTAATCAGCATTTGAAATTCTCTTGATGACGTAATATAACCTTATGGGTACATGATACAGAAAACAATGTACACAATTGTAAGACAAAGGCTAAATGTTAATAAATACCAATCATTTTAACATGTCCTGAACTGCATGAATTTATTAAATGCAAACAGAATTATAACTGCTAACAGAAGCAATTCATTAAACTTTAATGAGTCTGGCATAATAAAAGAGAATAAAAGAAATTTCCCAGGCATACTGGCACATCTGGAGAAAGACATTACATTTCTTAGGCTTACAGAGCAAATACCATCTACTGAAAGTCACAATTATTGTATTACCTCTAACAAGTAAAAGTATCTGTTAAATTGAGGGCTCTTCGTGTCCTCCAAGCCTTTTAATTGTCTTGTAATAAACAAGAATATGTCCTGTCAAAAAACAAGAAAGTGTTGACAAGTTTTATTCAGCAGACAGTACAAATACAACCCTCTAATAGTGACATCTACCCACATTTACAAACTCATTATATGAGAACACTGAACTGTCTTATTTAGGCACTGAAAGCTATTACAAGCACAGATACTGGTTACCCAGTGTTCCTTTACACATCACTGGCCTCTGAAGTACTACACTGTCTCAAAGGACTAAAGCAACATCTCTTTAATTAATTTAACATCAGCATAAATGCAAGGAAGTTTTTGCTTTGTTTTGGTTTTTTTTGGTGGGGTGTGTATGCGTGTGTGTGGTGTCCACTCTGTAAGAGAAAGAGGTAGGAAGAAAGCCTTTATTTTGTGGAGGATTTTTACCTTAAGTTTGTCATGGGAAGTATATGGAGCTTCAGGAGCATAGATACGAAAGATATCAGCCAAGCAACATGCTACGAGGAGGCGCACATCTTTATTGGGATTCCTGAGGAAGAATTCAGATGCAAGGTGCAAGGCTAATGGGAGATACTGCTGCTTCTCATCCTCCGAGTCCTGGTCCATATCCATGAAGGTTTTTACCACCATCTGAAAAACACAGAAAAAAGCCTCATTTGAGTGCTTTCTGCTTTTATTCCTAAATATTAAACAATACTTTATAAAAAGATGCAATGCTATTAATATGTGTTCTACTGCATAATCAAAGTACTACACATTTTTTTGTTAGAACAAACATCAGAAAGAGAGAAGCATTAATCTAATACTTCAAGGCTTATTGAACTTGGTATTTTAAAAGAAGACACCGAAAAATGTTTTGCAGCTCTGCTTATTTTGTCAGCCTTGAGATGCTGACATTTTATTTTGGCCATCTTCAAGGCCAGGCTGGAGGAGGCTTTGAGCAACCTGGTCTAGTGGAAGGTGTCCCTGCCCATGGCAGGGGAGTTGGAACTGGATGGTCTTTAAGGTCCCTTCCAACCCTAACCATTCTATGATTCTATGCAGCACAGAAACTGCTGCACATCAATGAATGAGGTTGGAGATGGCAGCACCTCTTCCTCAAAACAGTCCCTGACCACTTGAAAGTGAGGACTTGCATCAACATGGACAGTATGAGGGGCTGCAAGCCATCTGGCCTAACGTATAGGCCACAGTATAATGCAGCTGCTTTAAGAGCTAGGCTCCTCTAAAGTTCTGGCGTAAGAGGCCAGCCTTAAGCTCTGCCTGCATCTAGCCACAGAGCTCAAGAACTACTTTACGCAGGCAAAACCCCTTTATCGGGTTTAAACGAACTAGATACCAGGTAAGAATTTAATCCCTCATGTAAAAGACTTCTAACGCTGCAGATTTATTCTTTCTGCATACTCAAAACTGCATCTAAGGCCTTATCTATATAATGAAAAAAAATAAACTGAGTGGTTTCCTTATTTCTTCTAGCACCACTAATAACTATGAATTCCTATGAAATGCCACCAAAATTCTTTATTTTTAATAATTACACAACCCCAGTTAACTGAAACATCTAAACGTAATCATTTGGCAAAACTGAAAGTGAAAATTTAGTTTGAAAAAAGTTGCAGGTTTAACTTTAGGAATAGGGTTTGTTAAAGGATGGTGATGACTTCTGTCAGCAGAGAACTAGGACAAGTGCCACAGATTGTCAGTATGACCTTAGTCAAATTGGTTTGTCTCATTCCTCCACATCACCTGATCACCATTAGAGTTAAATTGCGAAGGACAGCCTTATTGCATATCAGTATGATTTAGTATACTCTTACATGTATACCCACAGTATCCACGTTAAAGTAATATAAGAGAAAACACAGAATGCTAAATCTTGGCGGGTCAAATTCTCCTCTAGAATATTAACAGTAAAACACAAGAGGAGATTGAGCTCACCCAGCTAATAAACACATCTCCTACTCTTACCACAATTCTTTTGTTATCGTGTCATTCAAAGACACTAAGGATGTTCCTCCGTTATTAAGCACGCCCCCACTTCCAACATGAAAACACTGTCTTTCAGCTTTACCTCTTCCCTGAGCTCTGGAACCCTGTTTTAAACTTAGTAGATCTTATAAATTAAAATAAATGTTTGACAGCAACCTTTCCTACAGTACTCTACTTAAAAACTCCTCCTCAATTTCTATAAATGTACAAGTACATTCCTTCGTGAAGCAACTTACAGCAAAACCAAAAATCAAGGAAGAAACAGAGGATTAAAAAAAAAAAACCCACCAATACCAAAAAAACCCAAAAACAGAATGAAAGAAAACTTTACAGCCACAGTCCATAAAAATAGAAATTCTACCCGCACAGGCCTGCTTCCCTAAAAATATTCTTAAGCTATATGTTGAAGCATTAGCAGGAAGGACAAAACCATCCTTTTATTGACAGCACAGGTCGGTCTGTTAGGCTGTCACACATGGGCTGTCCTACCTCCACACCAGAATTAAAAAACCAAGCAACCTAGTCTTCAATACCCACCAGATTCTTTCAATAAGGAAGGTTTAAAAATCCAACTAATGAAGCACCACCACCAAACCAATAATCAACACAACACAAAACCAAAAAAGCCACACCACACTTTCTCTGCTGGTGGCAGGACAAGGAATAATGCCTTGACTGGCAGCATGGGATTCAGGGAACTATTACTGAAGGCTTTAAGGATAGGGCAGAAAGGACTAAAAGATCGGTGGATCCTACTCTGGACACTGATGATAAACTGTACTTGTACTGTACAAACTTGTCCCACTAAAGTTCCTTCCAGTCTTTCTACTAATTTTATAGATAACCTATATAAGTGATCTTTTGATCTTTCTCAGAAACCTAATCTCCTTTCTCCCTATGCACATTATAAGCTTCATAACCAGAATACCCACCCAGATTCAGATCTCTCTTTGGGTTCTCGCACTCATATGACAAAGTGCATAAATCTTGCATATATCCCTTCTCTGATATGTCAAAACCGGGTAAGGTAAAGCAGCATGGTGCTGTGAAAACTCACAACTTTTCCATTCAGTACCAACATGTTGGTAACAGAAAGTAATTAAATTAGTCTTCGGCACTGTCTTGCCTGTTTGAAAACACACCAGCCTTATAGATTTTCCTGTGTTGCGCTTGTATTCAGAAGAAACTGCCAGCAAATATCCATAAGCCTATTTCTATTTCCCTGCAAAGCACTCCTTGATATTTCTTTTCTATTACAAAACAACATTTATACAGTAATTGGGACACTGGCAAGCCACAACTGCTATCTGACATACTGATCTATGTTTCCTCCATTGTTTCTTTATAGTCCCATATCTGCTTGTATTTGTGTGTTGTCGTTCGATTCATAATTAAGTCTTTGGTGCACGACGTTCTCTTTATGGCACACACAAAAAAATTAACAGAATACTATCTTGGTCTTTATCTAGGATCCCAGATACCAAATCAATACAAATAATGAATAATATGTATGGGGTACACAAAGTACACAGTATAATGCAAATAACCTAAGTAATATATAAAGAAACTACACAGGGCTATACCATGGTTAAAACCATGATGTAAATTGTTGCTAGTGGCAGGACACATAAGATTTGGGAAAAGGGGAATTAATAAAGACTTACATTTAAGTACAATCCATAAACTGGCTGGACTCTGTCATCATAGTTTAACAAAAGATTTCTATGTATTTCTTGAATATATGCAGTTAACTATATCTAAAATCCTACAGCCTGGGAGTATTCTCCATAGCCAAGCAGCTACTGATACTGATTAAGGTATTACACAACAGAATTATTTCCAAATGCCTGCCAATCTACATATGATGTTAATTGTTAAAATAAAAAAAAAAAAAAGAAAAAGAAGTCCAGGCATTAACTACAGCATATGCTTGGCTCTTCACATCCACTAAAAGGCCAAGAACTCGCTCAAAATCTCAGCAGTTACAGAACTGATACTCTTGCCCCCTAGCACAACTGAAAAATTAGTTATCAAGCAGCAGTTAAGAGAACAACTCACGTCTTCAAAAGCACAGTATGTTGTATGTTTGATGAAATCACTTATTTGTAACAGAACTACATATCCTCAAGTACAACACACTGATCAACAACTGCTCCATGATTTCCTGGGGTACTCCTGTCTTCCTCTCCACAGCCATCCATTTCTTGTTTCCTCTAAGACAGCAACTACCTTCCTTGGTCTAGGAATACAGTTCGCAAATACATCCATAATACAAAGAAACAAAATGACAACACACTTCAAGTTCTTTTCTGGGTTAAGGTCTGACAAAGAAAAGTTACTTGTAGTCACCTGGCATTGGTGTTACTTGAGATACAGAGATTCAACAGAAATATTAACATATAAAGTAAAGCATACTTATCCAGCCCTTCCCAAACATCTTTCTTCATAGTTCTCACACTCCGTACATTTAGCAGTATGCAAGTTGCAGGCCACCTAATAAATATACTTAACAGCTTCTGAAGATGGTCATAACTGGTTGGTTGTTCAGAAAGATTTTCGTAGTTACAACCGGTGTCATCTACCTGGGGTTGTGCAAAGTTTTCAACACCTGCAAGGCATCCTTGTCTCTAAACTGGACAGACATGGATTTGACGGATGGACCACTCAACAGATACGGAACTGGCTGGATGGTCGCACTCAGAGGGTGAATGGCTCCATGTCTGAGTGGAGAACAGTAATGAGCGGCGTTCCTCAGGGGTTGGAACTGATACTGTTTAACATCTTCATTAGTGACATGGATGGTGGTATTGAGTGCAACCTCAGCAAGTTTGCTGACGACACCAAGCTGTGTGGCACGGTCGACACACTGGAGGGAAGGGATGCCATCCAGAGGGACCTGGACAGGCTGGAGAGGTGGGCCACTGCCAACCTCATGGAGTTCAACAAGGCCACGTGCAAGGTCCTGCACCTGGGTTGGGGCAATCCCAAGCACAAGTACAGGCTGGGTGGAGAGTGGATAAAGAGCAGCTCTGAGGAGAAGGACTTGGGGGTACTGGGGGACGAAAAACTGAAAAACTGGGGGACTGAAAATATGAGCCGGCCGTGTGCGCTGG